GATACGATCTCTGGCCCCTTATTTTGCCCTATGCATGACGTTTTTCGACTTTATAACGGCAGGGATGGTATAGGAGAGGACGCCAACGAGATGGTCAGACTTCTTCAGAAAGCTCTGAACGAAAGGTATGTTGAGCCTCGCGTCCCTGAAGCGAGGACGATTTACTGGACCACTCTGGCTCGTGACAGGGACGAATGGAGACGTTACTGGCGCCCGCTCGAGGAAGTCGATGATCAACGGGACGACAGGTGATACAGGTGATGTGACCGTATTGTGCAGTGATCGCAAAATCCATACCAGTTCCTGTATTGTAGGGTCATTTTTCATATTAGTAGAAACATGACACCGCTGGTTCGTTGTATGCCAGAATTTAGACGTCACGTTATTGTTTATGCTGTAAAAGGAAGAGTTCTATATGCTTCATGTTACTACCAAACGCGATTGCATCTGCAGTACGTTGTTCCAGAAGCAGTATAGCACTCAACTGTGGCACAAAAACTGAACTTGAAAAGTTCATCCTGAGCTGAGAATCACTACAATATGAGGTGAATAAGTTGAGCATGACCCTCTCCTTCCAGATAATTGTTAATTCCTGACAATTCAGTTTCGCTTTGTGACTTCGATTTCCCTCACGCATTTTTCAACGATAGATGGGTCGAAAAGCCAGCGACAAGGGTTGCAGCGTGAGGATTTCCTAATCAAACGAATTAGCCTTAACTTGACGGGCTATGGCCACAATGACGCATTTGGACCTGAAGCATGAAACGGAGTCATCGAAAGAGGTTCTGGATATGCTAAAAACAAGTTGTGAAGTCAGGAAGCAGAACAAAATAGAATAAAAAGCCTCCCGACCCCGTGCGGTCATAAAACCGCTGCCTTTTATCTTGACAGAAGTTTTTATCAAAAATGGACGATTCAATAAGAATGATTCAGAATTGGTTAAAAAATAATTGATAATAGTAATAAGAATGGTGATAATAAGAATTATGATGTAAATGATTTTGAATCGATGAATAATATAGCGCGACCCTTTGCAAACGTATGGTCACCAGTATTCATCCAGAAACTCTGCAGCAGGTGAGAATATCTGCAGTACCCTGATTCTGAATTCTGAAGGTTTCAATTGCTCTGTAAAGACCTCGATGGCGAAAAGAATGTTGTAAATTGCCGTAGCGAATGAAGCCGTAGAGGTTCTGACGGAGGAAACTCTGCCTCTCGGAAGGACACGGGAGAAATAATCAAAGTGCTCGTCGCTGACCTATTCCGCCATGTCGGCATACCTTTTCTCATCGATGGTACGATGATATGAAGTTTCCTGACTTGTTTCCAAGTTCGACAAGCTATCAGATCGATGACAAATCGTACACTACTCATTCTGACCGTTGTTAAGTAAAAAGCTGTTACTTATCGATTTGCAGAAATGTTGTAACACTGTTGAGACAAGAGTAGTAACCCATGCCGTTGGCGATCAGAGTGTTCGCACTCAGTATGTCAGAATTATGGGTCCCCTATATCCTACTAGGAAGCCACCATCAACAAGAACAGAAATGTTCGGCAAGGTGGTACCGCCTTTCCCTTTCAGTGTCGACCTCGCAAACTTCATGCATCATTCTAAATGATAAGACATAAGAGTAAAGTTCGACGGCCCCCAGCAGTACCACTCTCGATTTGCAGATATCATGGTGTTCGAAGCACCGATATCGAGGGTGAAGTCAACTTGCATAAGGAATGCTGGCTTAACAACACTCCCAACAATATCGTGCTAATTAGTACGTTCATGAAAAACGGACTGATTAGTACACCTGCACTCGAGTGTAGCTGATTCGAGAAGTCAGTATGAACGTTCACAGATTTAGCGGAGGAAACAAGTAGCGCGAAGGGAGAATAGACCCTTGTACATTTCGAGCTCGCTGTAATTATTGTCTTAACTTGCCCTTCGGAGAGTTAGACTGTGTGCAGGCTGGATGACCATGCAGTCAGTGTCACTGAACGCGCTGTGGAAAACGCAATGCTTGTGGCAGGAAGGATTGAAGACGTCGCAGGAGCCGGTCGAGCAAATCTGTGGTTAGCGAGAAGGCAGGTGATTCACATGAACTAACATAAAAGTAGAGGCAAAACAAGGCAAAGAGTTCAGTGTAGGAGGCAGCTAAGAAATAAAACCATAAAAAGATGGAAAATTCTTCACTGCGCAGAATTGTTGTGCCAAGAAGTCGTGTGATATTTTCAAATAGTTATCAATACCTACCGAGATGATCCTCGTTGACTGCGACTTTGTAGCAAAGCAAGGCAGGAAGAAGGAGTATCTCGAGTAAAACCATGCGCAACGCTTGCAAAATCGTTGTGATACCAACCTTAGCAATGATGCCCATGTTCGTATCAGTAGATCATTTGCAAATTTAATCAGACGCTGTGAAATTTCCGTTGTTACTGCGGAGCTAGCCAAAACGTAAGCACCCATCCAGTAAATATGCAGGATTGAGATCCTTCGCAGCCAATTTTACTGAATACAGGCTGAATACATGCATTTATTATCGCAAAATTAATTTGTCACCTGACAAGGATCGTGAAGATCCAGTTGGTTGAGTAACCAGAAATATTTCGTTTCGACAATATGACATTCCATACTCTAATTGCTGTTGGAGCTCACGCAGAATTGAAGCTAGTAAAAAGCTGTTACTTCACGTCCATCGATTTGCAGAAATGTTGTAACACTGTTGAGACAAGAGTAGTAATCCATGCCGTTGTCGATCAGAGTGTTCACACTCAGTATGTCAGAATTATGGGTCCCCTATATCCTACTAGGAAGCCACCATCAACAAGAATAGAAGTGTTTGGCAATGTCATTGTTCTATGTGCAGGACGCCCGATTCCTAGAAAGAAAGCGAAGCTTTGAATACAGCCACTTCATGCATAGCAATATATAGGTTCTCTAGAGCTCTCACAACTCGGACAAAGGAATGACCAGCATAGCTGGTTGGACGAGTTCCTGCATCAAGGGGAACTCTTCTGATTAAAAACATTATTACATTTGTGATAAATTAGTGATTCCCCGAATCTCTTTCTCTCTCAACAACATTCGCCATTCTCGGACGAGTCAAATGTTTTAACGGTCTGGTGTATTCGTTAGTGAACAATATTCCGGTTCAACTGCTAGTTGATGCTATCTTCGAGCTTCGCTAGACAACGCATTCTCGGATCATTTCCGATGGTCTACGAACTCTATCGTTATTAGTTGACTTCCGACGAAAGTGCGGAGAGAAGTGTTGGAAACGCAAATGTAATGACTCTGAAGTTTGCCCGCAACCAGGCCCAGCATTTTGCACTTCTTTATTCCTGGAACTTCCTGGCTCAGTGAATGCAGATTGTGCGCCTCTGATAAAGCATAAATAAAGAAGAAACTTCAGAGACAGGCTAAAGCCATAGCGAGAAAACAATGGAATGTTGTACATGAGCAGCTGATGTTTTTATCATGTCATGAGCAGCATGAACATATGTTTTTGTCTCTCTTTTCAATATTCTTTGCATTCCCCTTGAGGGTGTCTCGATTGTTATTACGCGAGTATTCAAGCCTGCCACGCGGTTTTCTAGTACGCGACCACAATAACTCGAGTTTCCCTCAAACACCAACAATTAGATAATAGGCTTTATCTAATGGTTAGTAAGATAAAAACATACACTTCAAGTAGGTGAAGATATGTGCCAGCAGAAGAAATGACGAGCAGATATACGATCGATAGTGCAATATGCGTACAATAGAGAGAATATCCCCGAGTGTCTTACATTCCTGCCCTTATATAGCGTGGTTACCCGCGCACTAGATCACGAGCTCCTTGCGTGGGAAACGGTACGATAGGACGGCTTGCCGTCACTCCCGGCGGCAAGTTTGCTGAGGTATTCTGTAGTTTCTGAAGAGATACGAATTAAGCAATACAAGAAACAAATACAAGATGGTTACCTTAAATTACAATAACTTCTTCAAACTACCTAATGTCGTCTGTATTTTTTAATCTCTTGGCCCATGAATTTTATTTCTTCTCCATGTTCATCTAGGTCTCCTTTGTTATCATCCAGCTCGTATAGGGCCTCCTCCTTAGCGTCAGGAATATTACATAATGCTGTATGATGGCCTTCTCTAGGGATGAGGTATTCGACGTAGGTACCAGATACGCGAACACAATAGTAGCATTTTTTCTTCTTTGCTCCATGGTCTTCTCGTTTGCCACATTGGGCCAGACAATATTGGCAAAATCCTTTTTCCAGAATCATATTCCATCTGCGGTTTCCATTAGTGATTCGGGGACACGAGTGTTCGCCTTCACAAAACGCGCAAGTTAAATCTCTTTTCATATTTGGCGAGAAAATCTCCTTTTTTTCTGTAGGGAAAGTCCTGAAGGTCCTCCTCCATCCAATGAATCTTGTGTTTCAGTTCAGCTGCGAGCTTGTTTAGCTCGTCTCTCCTTTGCTCATATTGCCCTAGGCCTGAAATTGGTCGTTGCTCCCGGCGCCTAATTTCCACAACGCGATCACTTTCAAGTCGTCTTTCTGATTCTTCATTTTTATTTTCCTCACTGACATCTGATCGCATTTCTCAGACTTCTTCGGCATTACCATCGTCATGTACGCGTGCGGGTGGCTCTTGATTCTGCTTTGCTTCATTTGCTTGTACTTCCTTGACCATTTGCGAAAAAAACGCGTCACACTCTTCGGGTCGTTTCCATTTCCTGGATCAACGGCTCTTTTCGGGACGCCCATCATCTGTTTAATACGCAATATCTCTTTAGATTGTTCCCGAGTTTTCTTCTGAACGTCAGCGAAGCGTTTTTCAGCATCATCCTTGTCCGACGCGGTTAAGTTTTCAAAGGCTTTGCGGAACAAATTGTTGATGTGTTCAACATTCGTGTAACATAGTCCTTCGTTGAAGTCCTTTTCAGCCTTCTCCAACTCGGATTCCATTTCGCTGATGACTTCCTCAAAGCGTTTCTTGTTCTTGTCGAGCTGAAGCAGCATACTTTCCGCTTCTCTGTCCCACTCTTCGACTGGAACGTTGACGTGTCTATCTCCAAGGTGTGCTACTTCCTTATAATACAGGCTTGTGTACAAGAAGCGGACTCCCATACGCAAAATCTTCTCTTTCGTCTGCATCAAGTCCTTCGTTTGCGTGGAAATGGTCCTGATCTTCGAAGCTGGAGTGCCCAGCACGCAACTCTCCTCCGACTTTATGTAGTTCCACTGAAACTGTATCATGGCTGCAACGCTAACTTGTTGTTGAAACACTTCATGAATCGTTTTAAGGTCTTCTTGTACGCGGTTCAATACGGTGTGTCGGTTTAGGATCATCTCCGACAAATACAGTAGCGCTCAAAAGTCTTCGGTGAAATGCTTTGACGCTTTTTCGTTCATAACTTTTTTGTTCGTACACCGATTCGCGCAAAATTTGGATATGTTCAACTAGAGCATATTTCACCCTACCCAACACTACTTGACTGCGAAGCTGCAATATCCACGGATAGAGCAAGGTGTTTGTTGCGGTAGCAGATTCTGCTAATACTAAAGTTGTTGACGTCTGCACCTACTCGCACCTTATGTGCGTCTTTCTCATCTATTGTTTTAGGCATTACCGCTCCTACACTTTAGACATGACAAAAAGGAAAGAAATTCCAAAAGGGCCATCATCTGCATTTTCAGTCGATTTTGAGATCATGCTCTTTGGAATATCTGGAAAGTGATTAGGTTGCAGGTTAATAGTGGTAAATATCCACAGTACACCCATGCTACACNTATTGAAATTTCGCATGATTAGATCCAGTAGGAAAGGAGATACGACTGAAAAGTTCGGCTGAAGAACCATTTCACCGAAGACTTTTGAGCGCTACTGTATTTCGTGTCATCGTCCGGGTCACGCGCTGCCATCCTGAAAAGGCGCGCATAAACTTTGAAAAATTTTCTACGAAACTGCATTGTTTGTTTTTCAGCGTATCATATAAGTAAAGAACGCCTATATTTGATTTAGGTAAAGACTCTGAACTGAAATGACTAGATAAATTGTTATGTGTTCTGTGCAGATTTTTTAATGGCAATAGGTGAACCCAAGGGCAAACGCGGACGACATGTTGGTGCGTCTTCGTTGTTTCTTTTGCCTTGTCTCCTAATGATTCTTCTATGTATAAGTTTATCGAGGTAGATATTATTTCTGCAGAGGGGGTACCTATGTCCAAGTGTAAGGTTCTGCATCGCTGCGGGACATTTTCTAGACCGAGGAACGCATCTAGCAGAGGAGTATCAAGATTTTCAAGCTTGTCTGTTTGTTCTTTTTCACCGAAACTTTCAGTTAATGTTGCAGCGAAGAAAACTGTCCCTTGGTAAGGTATTTCTTCGTTTTCCTTGTAATCTACTTTCTTCCTCTGGCGGAGATTATAACGCGAGGGTGGTTTTTGCTGCACTTCTTTGTCCCTTTTTGTGTTTTCTGCAGAAACCGCCGCATTGTCCTCGTCAAATTCCAGCGGAATTAACAGATTCAAAGGTCTACTGATCTTTCGGCGAGAAGGGAGTAGTATCACCGCTTCTCTGTCAAACAGCAGAAAAAGTCATAAAAACGCACATTAAGAAAAACCATACCCATAAGTGGATATTCTTTTGGCTATACACGTCTAGAAATCTTGTATGCCTAACGAAGCAAGAAGGTCTAACTTCCTTAATTTCTTTTTGAACGCATCAGTACTTCGCGCCTTTTGCAGGTCTAATGGTAACAGTTGAAACCATCTGGCTCCTCGGAAGAAAAGCGAATGAAACACACAGCCCCTATGATTACTGCTCAGTTCAGGGCATTGTAGTGATAACGAAGTGGTACGTCCTCTACACGGTCTGATTATCCAGTACTTGCTCGGCCGTAGCTTGAGTTCACCTCTCAGCATTTTAAAACAGAATACTATATCATTGAATACTCTTCTGTACAACAATGTTTTAAGATTGAAACGATGCAGGCGGTCATCATATGTCGGTAAAGATCGTGTGTATGTTGGGTCAGGAAAACATTTATACATTAATATTCTCGTGAAAGTTTGCTGAACTTTCTCAATTTTTGCCTGAAGTTTCTTGCTATGAGGGTTCCATATCTGTGAACCGTACTCGAGTATGGGANCAGAGCCTGGAATGATCGAAGCAATTTATGACTACCCGACCAAACGCCTCAACTACCCTACGGAAATTCGACACCTCAGAGGTCATCACGTAATTGCAAGTTGGGACACTTACCGTAGATCAGTCCGATCCTCGCGACCACTTAGAAGCCAGCAGCGGTCCAGTAAGCTTTTCGGACTGGATGTGATTCAGACTCACTGGTGGAAGGCCAACCTTATATACGGCCTCAGCTCCCGCGTGATTGTGAGGCATTCTTCCCTCCGGTTCAGTTTTGGCCTAGTGACCTGGATCCAGAATGCCTCGAGGATTTTTCGTGCGGGTGTTTGCGATTCTCGCGCCAAGACATCGGCCGTGACCTCGAAGTCGGCTCCGTAATGAGTTTCCACCCTGTGGGCGCCTAAGGCAGTTGACATGCGTGACCTGACCTTGCCCTCTAAGTGTCCTTGATGCGTACGCATAGCGGTCTAGATGTTTCGCCGATGTACACCTCTCCACAGCTGCAACATGTGATCTTGTAGACCACCCCTGCGATTGTACAGCCGCCTTCCTTGCCGGATGGGCAGACCACACAATTAGGGGTGGTACATGAGCAGTCGTAGAGCCTATTTCGAACCAGCCGATGCTTTAGGTTGTAGGGGGGTACATTCAAAATGGCAACCAGATTTTCCAGACCCGACCTCCTCAGACACTTCCTTATGGACGTGCTAACCTCATCAGAGACGAATGGTACAGTGAACGAAATTTTGCCGTTCAGTGAAGTACCACGGGGTGTTGACCTACTCAACCGAAACGTAAGCCGAAATAAAGGAATTTATCAGCCTCGTCCGAGCTCAAGCAGAGAAAACCAACGTTTACACTATGCCGAGGTTTAGAGATAGCCGTACATGGCGATTATTTGGCCATGATTATCATTGTTGTAAACGCCATATATTCCAATATCATCAGCATACATTTTTATTCTGATCGAAGGGTGAGTGTATAGATATGAAAGTAAGTCGTATGTGTACGCTACAAATAACAAGGGAGACAACACACCACCTTGTGGGACACCGCTAGAGCAATGAAACCTCTGTGAAAAGCTGTTACCTACCCTGACGCACATATGCCTATCTTCCAAGTAAGACTGAATCCAGCTAAGAATGTTGCATTCAATCCCTAATTGTTGAAGTTTGAGAAGTAACTTTTCATGACTCACTTTATCGAAAGCCTTTGTCAAATCGAAGTAGATGATATCTACACCCTTCCCTTCATTCACAGCAAGGTTCCAATCAAATACGCAATCTGCCATAAGTGTAACTGTGGAAGCACTGCTAATGAAACCATGTTGTTCCATAGGTATAAGGTTGTTTTTCATCAGATTCGATGCAATTTTATTACGTAAGATTCTTTCCAGGACTTTAAGAGGTGGCGCGGTAATACTTATGGGTCGGAAAGAGGAAACTAGTTTTGGTTCACTTATTTTGGGTATAGCTGTGATGACAGATTCTTCCAGCAGGACGGGACCTCACTATACATCAGCGATGCGTTAAGTATTATACATATAGGTTCACTCAGCGAGGTGGCGCAGTTCTTGTAAACAATTTGAGGAATACCGTCGTAAGGTACTGAAGTAGAACAGTTCAGCGATTTCAATACTCTACGCACTTCTTGAGAAG